CAAATCCTTTAAAGAAAAAAGACATTATTGTTGAAGTAGCATGTCATTTTGGCTGTCAACCTACCTACCTTTTTGTTATCATCATTGTCTGATTTTTGTAGTACGTGTTTGGTAGTATATTTTGAATTATAAACTATGGAAGGTATGGTGATAAAGCTGTCAAGTATGTAGTCTTGTAGTAGGTGAATTATGGATGACCTTTAGTACAAAAACCATATTGTAAAATTTTATATTTTATCAGTAAGAAGCACAGCAAATGGCTCATTTTCCTTCATTTTTTACTCTAGAAAACATAGCATTGAAGAAGCCGGTAAGTTGAGTGCAAATCTGGTGAGTTCAGTTCCTTGCTTTTTTCTTTTTAATAATTCTCTTTGAATCAATGATCTTTCATGGTATCAGAGGTTTATAGTTCTTAGAAAGGGACTATAAAAAGAAGGAAAAAGAACTGAAGTGAAAAGGGAAAACCATCAGCGAAAGGAAACATAGTTGACAGAAAATATGATGGCATCAACTGGTTTTTCAGGACCTCTACCTTCAACCTTCAATGGAGAAAATTACAACTTCTGGGCTACAAAGATGAAGGCCTATCTCAAAGCTTATGACCTTTGGAAGATAACCAAGACAGGCATTGAACCTCCACCATTAAGAGCTAACCCCACAGTTGCTCAAATCAAACAACACACTGAGGATGTTGCTAAGAAGTTCAAGTCTCTCTCCTGTATTCAGTCATCTATTTCAGATGCCATCTTCACAAGGATAATGACTTGTCAAACGTCAAAGGAAGCTTGGGATAGACTCAAGGAAGAATTCCAAGGAAATGAAAGAACTAGACAAATGCAGATATTCAATCTAAGAAGGGAGTTTGAGACCTTGAAAATGAAGGAAACTGAGGTGGTTAAGGACTTTGCCGATTGGTTATTGAAGGTTATAAATCAAATTAGGCTGTTGGGAGACAATCTACCAAACAAAAGAGTGGTGGAGAACGTTTTGATCAACCTACCTGAGAAGTTTGAAGCCAAGATATCATTACTTGAGGATTCAAGAGATCTGTCATCAATTACTTTAGCTGAATTGGTTAATANTCTGTCATCAATTACTTTAGCTGAATTGGTTAATACCCTTCAAGAAACCGAGCAAATAAGGTTAATGAGGCAAGAAGAACAAACTGAAGATGCCTTGTTTGTTAGAGGAAAGCAAAAAGTTTCAAACTGAAAAGAAGGAGTAATGATGGCAGTAAAACTGGCAGCCAGGAGGATAAATTTGTACATTGTCCTCATTGTAAAATGAAGGGCCATTCTCCAAAATGGTGTTGGTATAAGCTTGGTGTTTAGTGTAGGAGCTGCAAACAGGTTGGCCATGTGGAAAAAGTGTGTAAAACCAGAAAACGGAAGCAAACACAACAGCAAGCCCAGGTTGCAGATGACTAGCAAAATCTACAGGAGAAACACCTTTTTACTGCTATACAGGCCAATGACAATGAGGAAATTGGTTGCTAGATAGTGGCTGTACACACCATATGACAGCAAACTCAAATATCTTTGTTGAATTGAACAAGGCCTACTCATCTAAGGTGAAGGTTGGAAATGGAGACTATGTTGATGTGAAGGAGATTAGAGTAATTGAAGTGCAGGCATTTGCTGGTATTAAACACATAGCTGATGTTCTTTATGTGCCTGAGATTGATCAAAATTTAGTTAATGTTGGGCAATTGCTTGAAAAGAATCACGCACTTATCTTTAAAGACAATGCTTGCACTATAATAGAAAAAAATGGAAGTGAAGTGATGACGGTTAAAATGAAGAACAAAAATTTCCATATTGATTGGAAAAACATCACCACATAAGCACTCACTTCTGTCTTGGATAATTCTAATTTATGGCATAAACGTTTTGGCTATGTTAGTTACAATTTATTGAGGCAATTAAATGAGTTCAGTTTGGTTGAAAATCTGCCCGAAATTAAGGATGAATTGTGTGTGTGTGATGTTTTCCAACTTGGGAAGCAAACCAGGCTACCATTTCCGAAAAATCAATCAAGGAGAGCCACAACTAAACTTGAATTAGTACATTCAAATATTTGTGGACAATTGAGGACCACTACATTGAATGGAAGCAGGTACTTCATCATTTTTATTGATGATTTCTCTAAAATGTGTGGGGTTTACTTTTCAAAGGCTAAGTCTGAGGCTGCAGCTATATTCCAAACATTCAAAAACATGGTAGAGAATGAAAGTGGATGCAATATGAAGGCAATAAGGACTAATATTGGTTTTGAGTATAGCTGCAAGTAGTTTGATGATTTCTGTAAGGATGAAAGAGTGAAGTATCAATTAACCATTCCTTATTCCCCTCAGCAGAATGGTGTGAGTGAAAGGAAAAACAAGTCAATAATGGAGATGGCTAGGTGCTTATTGATTGAAAAGAAAGTTCCCAAAGAATTCTGGGCAGAAGCAGTCAATACATCAGTCTATCTTCTCAACCGTTTGCCAACAAAATCCTTGGAGAAGAAGAAACCATATGAGGCTTGGTATGATGCTAAGCCTAAAGTCTCACATTTAAATGTGCTTAGAAGTGTGTGTTACACTAATGTTCCTGATGCAAAGAGGGACAAACTCAGTGATAAAGCTGAAATTGGAATACTTGTTGGCTATTGCAATAATGCCAAAGGTTATAGGGTGTTCAACCCTCAGTCAAGAAAGGTAATCTCCAGCAGAGATATCAAGGTGGATGAGAATGCTACTTGGAACTGGGATGCTAATTCTGTAGTTAAAGAAAAAGTCAGCAATGTGACTCTTTAGAACAGAGATGAAGAAAGTGATGAGGATGAATTGGAACCTGGTGCCAATTATGACTCTGAAATAAATGAAGGTAGGGTGAAAATGAGACCTCTAGCAGATGTCTATGCGAGATGTAATGCTGCAATTGTAGAACCAGCAAGTTTTGTTGAAGCTTCTAAGTCATCTAAGTGGATGGTTGCAATGGAGAAGGAAATTAGGATGATAGAAAATAATGACAGCTGGGAATTGATAGAGACACCTCAGAATAAGCAAGTGATTGGGGTTAGATGGGTGTACAAAATGAAATTAAACCCTGATGGATCAGTTAACAAGCTAAAAGCAAGGCTGGTTGTCAAAGGATATGCACAGAAATATGGAGTAGATTTCACATATACCTTTACTCCAGTTGCAAGGTATGAAACAATCAGGTTGCTAATGGCAATGGCAGCTCAAAAAGGGTAGAAAATCTACCAGTAAGATGTGAAATCAACATTCCTAAATGGCTACTTAAATGAAAAATTCTTCATTGAACAACCTAAAGGATTTATGTCTGATGGAAAAGAGGATAAAGTTTATCTTCTAAAGAAGGCTTTATATGGATTAATGCAAGCTCCAAGGGCTTGGTACAATAGGATTGATGGGCATTTAATCTGTCTTGGCTTTGCTAAAAGTGTGAATGAACAGACTCTTTATGTAAAGGAGGAGAAAAATGAGCTAGTAATCATATCAATATATGTAGATGATTTGCTGATTACCGGAAGCACTTTGCATTGATTGAAGAAGTGATGGCTGATTTAAAGAAAGCATTTGAGATGACAGACTTAGAGGTGATGTAGTATTTTCTAGGAATGGAGATCAACCAATCTGATGAAGGGATTTTCAAATACCAGAGGAAGTATGCTAAGGAAATCTTAAAGAAGTTTAGCATGGAGAATTGTAAACCAGTAACAACTCCCTTGGTTCAGAATCCAAATCTACTAAAGAATGATGAAGCCAAGAAAATAGATGCTAAGGTCTATAGGAGTTTTGTTGGTAGCCTACTCTAACTCACAGTACTAGACCTGATTTACCTTATGCAGCAAATATCCTTTCCAGATTCAGAGAAGAGCCTAGTGAATTATACTTTCAGGCAGCTAAAAGAGTTCTACGATATGTTAAAGGAACAAAGGATTAAGGAATCTAGTTTAGAAGGTCAGAAAGCTGGAAATTAACTGGTTATACAGAAAGTGATTGGCTTGGAAGTCCAGAGGATATGAAGAGTACTTCAGGGTATATATTCTATATGGGTTCAAGCATCGTTTGCTAGAATTCATCGAAACAAAAAACTGTGACTTAGTCAACTGCAGAAGCTGAGTACATTGCAACATCTGAAGCTACAAACCATGTCATTTGGTTAAGGAAAGTGTTGGGGGATTTTAAGCATAAACCAAATGAAGCGACAACCATATTTTGTGACAATCAGAGTGCAGCAGCAATGGTTAGGAACCATGTGTTCCATGGTAGGACCAAGCAAATCAAGATTAAATACCATTCAATTAGGGAGGCACAAGAAATGAAGGAAATGGAATTGGTGCATTGCAGGTCTGAAGAACAACATGCTGATATTTTAACCAAATCATTGGAGAAAGGAAATTTTGAAACACTAAGAGATCCTCTTGGTGTTTCCTGCAAAAATGTCAAGGAGAAATGTTGAAGTAGCATGACATTTTGGCTGTCAACCTACATGTTTGGTAGTATATTTTGAATTATAAACTAGTGTAAGGTATGGTGATAAAGCTGTCAAGTATGTAGTCTTGTAGTAGGTGAATTATGGATGACCTTTAGTACAAAAATCATATTGTAAAAGATTATATTTTATCAGTAAGAAGCACAGCAAATGGCTCGTTTTTTCCTTCATTTTTTACTCTAGAAAACATAGCATTAAAGAAGCTGGTAAGTTGAGTGCAAATCCGGTGAGTTCAGTTCCTTGATTTTTTCTTTTTCATTTTCTTTGAATCAATGATCTTTCAATTATTTTGTGACATCTAAGGGAGACATCCACTTTTGATATAGGAGTTGTCTTTCATGTTTGACTGTTTAAGCACTAAAAACCCTTTCCCCTAGCACTGCTCAAAGGTTGGGTGTTGGCCATTTTTGCCGCATTCAAAAGATTTTACAAAAAAGGAATGCGTTGTAGCTATGTGCATCTATTTTCATCGATCTCCCTTTTTTAGGAGAGGTAAATATGGCTCCTCTATTACTCATGATTGACAGACTGACTATCCCACCTTACTTTGTTAACATTGCTAAGCCAGTATATTTGTTGATGTTAATACTGGTGAATCTGTCTCTCTTGTAAGCTCCTTGACTATAGAGTTTTATTTTATTTTTACTTCTAACTTTCATGTAAGGTCGTCTAGGGCTCAGCACGACTACAAATTTTATTGACAATGATGTAGAAAGGGTCTAATTCACTTGATTATATCAAATATATGCTGTATTTATATTTCTATGACATTCTTTTTTTTTTTCTGTACTAGATAGATTGGATTGTGGTAATTATGTTTCCATCGTGCCTAGCTTATCATTGCAGCTTGTGCAACAAGTTTCTTCAGAGGAGATGGGAATTTTTGAAGAGATTAAATCTATTTTGGGAGAAAATGATGGCGATGATTCAAAATTTATAGCTCCATTCACTTTGCTCAGCAAAAATATTGTGGAGTCCTTTCGATACGGAGTTGGGGTAATTGACTGTCTTCTTTACCAAGGAAAAAAAGTTGAATCTTGAAAAGAGTTGACACCTGCTTGAGCATTTTTTCTACGAAGGTAGATTTATCTTGCCAGAACAGTGAAGCCTATGAAGCTGGAATTTTTTGTAAATTGAAGATGCTGAGAATGACTTTCTGTTTATGTTGATATTGGTATTGGGAAATTTTGACAAGGAATAAGAAACATCAATTGATGTTTCCCAAAGTTAGTCTTTTTATAGCTTTCTAGATCTATTTTGAAAATATGAAATTCCAGTAAAAAAGAATTGAAAGAATGAATTTGATAGTCTCCAGTTAGGTGTAACATCATAACCTGAATGTACTTAAAAGATACGTAGCACATTTTATTTGCAAATCTTAACATCCAAATTATAATTATTATGATTTTTAATTTCACTCGTCCTCCAAATGAGACTCAAACCCATGTCACTAACCTTGTTACCACTTGAGCTAGGCTTTGATCTCCATTCGAATTACCTTTATTTTATTGTTTCAGCAAAAAAATAAAAAACAAAAAGGTCATCTAGCTTCATGTAACTTATCTGATTACACAACCATGACTCTTTTGCAAGTGATATGTTTTGGACAAATTTCTTAATCACAACCATGACTCTAAATCACACATTGTGTAAATGAAAAGCATAATACAAATTAGTATTAGGAGTGTTTCACTTGCTTAAATGAGTTTGTTGGTTGACAAGTTAAAATTTACGTTTTAGGGCCTTGTTTTATAGAGAAGTGTTGAAATTGAATTACCTATAGTAGGATAGAACACATATGAAAGTCAAGCTTCCTTAAGAACTGCAACTGAAAGTGTCTAATTTTCCTTGTGCCCTAATCACTGCTTCCTATGTTTATATTAGGTTGAAGGCTCATTTTCAAGACAATCCAAAAGACTTGGGTAAAAATTTTCTGATATATGTTTTCTGAAATTCAATAGCTCATCAATCAATGAATAACCACATGACAATGCTTGATTTTGATCAGATCTTTTGAAGCACGACAAAGTTCTGAGTAAGAAGGACCCTGTTCCCCAATTGCATGATGTGCCTGATTATCTATTGGACCCAACAACACTGGAGGCTAGCAAGATTGTTAAGCTTGCTAGAGCTGCTATAGGAAATGCCAACCCGATTGGTCGAAAATGATTAAAGGGGAAATTTAGAAGTAAAAACCCTCTTAAAATTTTCTTTTCTGAGATATAGTGGTATCTTATACTCTTACAATAATGTAGTCCATCTCGTTTGTCCATTTATTGAGGCAAAATATGCCCTCGTAACCAAACATCATTCTCAGCCCAAGATGATCTCTTGAAAAATAAGACGTGTTTGAGGGAAATCTCGACAGTTTATTAAGCATCTTAAGTTTTTATTTTGCACTGGGGAAAGTGGTGCTGCAATTTGCCCTGGAATGAGATAAAATGGAACTTCTCATTCTATTTCAGAGCTGTTGGGAAGTAAACTTGATTTTGGAGTAAGTAATATGGGGTTAAGAATTTTTGCTCATAGGCTCAATTCAATTAAAAAGCCCAACAAAGTCTAACATTTCTAGAAAGATCCATGTAAATGTATCAAGTAGATTATGTGGTTCTAGAAATTTTATCTAGAATATTCTAGAAAAATATCTAGTCCAAATATGTTACTAGAACTTTCATGTAAGCCCTATATAAAGGGGTAGAATCCCTCCATTTTGTATTAAGTCAAGTCAAGTGTGTAAATTTTGAAGTTGAGAAATATAAGTTACATTTTTATTTACTTACTTCTTCCTATTAATGTTGTCCTTCCTATCAAGCCTAAGCCAAACCAAGTTAGTAAACCTCTCTTTCCTCCAATAATCTAGTATCAGAACCTAAGGTCCTTGTGAAAAATGGCAAGTTGGATGATTCCTTTACAAGTCTCTCAACTCAACAGGGACAACTCTGACAATTGGAGCATAAGGATGAAGGCATTGCTCGGGTCACAAGATGCATGTGAGATAGTAGAGAAAGGCTACGCGGAGCAACATGACAAGGTCACTCTATCCCGAGCAAAAAGGGATAATTTGAAGGATGTAAAGAAGAAGGACAACAAGGCGCTCACCCTCATCTATCAAGCCTTAGATGAAGGCATGTT